CGGAAAAAACTTGAACCTTTCGTCCCTTCTTGGCTTTCGCTCCACGTCCCCCTGACCTGGACCCCCCTTGAGGGGGTCCAGGCTCAAGGTTTGGGCTCCTGCGATACAAGTTGACATAAGGAATTAAAACCGAATTAGACAGAGACATGTCGGCCAACTGTGCAAGGCCGTCGTTAAGGTACACTCTTGCCGTACGCGCAGCGGCCCACCGGCCTTGCACGAGCAGTTTATCGAACGAACCGTGCTGGTTAAACCAGAACGTCGCGCCCCCTCTGCGCAAACTGTATGGTCTAAGGTGCAAGTCATTCAATTTGAGTGCCTCCGTGGCTTTGGTGAACAACGCTCTCCACGCATGTTTTGAGGGTTAAAAATTGCGATGAGGCAACGGCTTGTTTCCATCTCCAGAGGTCTGGGAGGATGGAACGCTCATGCAGGGTGACACTCTCGGCAGCACCCTGACGAGCTCCTCCCTTCGTCAGTCCGAGGGAAAGGACTGCTGGTCCCTTTGGCCCTGGGATGAAAATGTCCTTGGCCCGTAGGCTCAGTAACTCTCCTGTCCGAAGTAGTCCAAAGAAGGCGACTCGAAGGGAGAGCCCAAAAAGTGGGCAGTTGTTGAAAACGGACCGTCCACATAAAGCATCCAGGATTTGAAGGGTCATAGGCGGCGCCCTGTTGGGAATTTCAACTGTCGTCCAGGCTTTTAACAGCCTCCAACTCCCTGGTAGTTTCTTCTTTAGGGATGGATCACGGTCTTGCAGTGCTGCTAGGGTATTGTTTGCAATGGACCTACCCTCGCCGGCGGCCCAAAGATGTTCGAGATAGTCACTCACCAGGGCGTCCAAGCGAACTTGCTGTTTTGGGAGAGAGAGTCCCTCCCCTGCCAGCCAGTCGAAAAAGCGGTTGAGACATTCTGTGTATCTTTGCCTTGTACGTGGTTGAACAGTGAGGCCTTTGAGAGAACCTAATTTGCTTCGAACTTTCTTGCGCTCTTGTTGGCTCTTTCCTTCCATTACTTTTGTGGTCTTTTTACCCATTTCTTCCGAAGGGGCCGGCGCGATGGCCGATCAGCGGGGTTTTGGTGGGTATCCACGTAACCCCAAACACCAACAAGACCTCCGGCCAACTGAAGCGCTCCAATTCGACACAATGTTCTCCTCAACCTCCTACTAGACGACCTTCCTCGAGACAAGGCATGCAAGACGACCAATGAATCAACCAAGCGCAGGAACCGACACT